GACTGAAAGTCATGCGAGAATTGGATTTTTGTTTTCCTTTCATATTAGATGCAGAAATGGATGGATATGAATGTAAATGGTGGGATTGGATATTTGAAATCTCTTACCTATGAAAATATGGATAGTTTATCTATTTGGAGATTGTATATATGTTTAGAAATACATGTTTTGAGCTATCGGTGGAGGATAGCTATGACTGTTATAGAAATTGCATATGGACTAGGTGAATTGAAATTAATCACTTGTGCTTGTCATTGAATATGACTATAACTATATACATTGGATATGTATGCCTATATGGGAGTGGAAAGGGAATGTACTCCATATGTGATTATGTGTTCATATACATTGTGTATGTATTACACTTATGTTGTTATGCATTCTAGTATGTTGAAATGGTTGAGAGTGTGCTTGCGCTTCGAATGAGAGGTACCAGTACCTTCCAGCTAGCACTTGGAGAACTTGACAGAGGTACCATTATCTTCCAGCCGATGTCTGGTAAATTGACATTTTGTTATGGAAATGTGTATCCTTGAATTGGAATTTTGTTATGAAAAACTGTATCATTGACTTGGCATTTTGTTATGGAAAGATGTATTATTGACTTACTGTGCTTAATGCAGGCAGAGCAGAATTCATTTATCATTACTGTCTCTGTGTATCTGGGTATATCATGGGTTATGATGGTTATTGTTCTAGAAGGTCGTGTTGTCTCAATTATTGAAGCAGATAGTTATTGATTGCTTGTTGTTTTCCTTTTTTATTAAAGGCATACTTGTATAGTTATGAATGTGTTGGAAACAGACGTAAGTATTGTGTTGAGATTGTGAAAAATGTGAAAGACTTTAAATACTTGTGGACATGTTTTGAAAAGGCAAATTAGGTATAAGTCTGGAAGTGAAAGAAAACGTAATGGGTTTGGTAAAATTATTTTCTTCAGAAACTTATTATAGTCATATGAATTTTGAAAAAAAAAGGTATCAAGAAGGAAGAAAAGTGAATTGCTTATGTTGTTAAATGAAATGAATGACTTTGATAGAAGTTCTTATATACATATTTTCTGTATAAACCGTCTCATTATTTATACAGTATGAGACTAAGCATTCACGATCATAGCTATCTGTAAGTTGCTATTGTTTAGGATCATGTTGAGATCCCTACAAGACTTTATGTTCATTCCACGTTGTTAATCCTTTTTCAGGTGAACATCGAGAAGTATTTCAAGGTCATGGATCTTCTTTACCTGTTGGCCACGGGGCCTTTTATTTGTGGGCGGAATGCCATTGATTTAAAAGGGTTAAACCTTTTCTTTTACTTGTAAAGATGTAAGTCTACGGGCAATTTATTTAGTTATGCTCATGTTGTATTTATTTTGCATTCGGATGAGAAAATCTTTATTTATTCGTACTCGTTGATGTAAAGAGTTTTCCGCATGTTGTCTCTTAAATTGAATTAAATTAATGAATCTAGTAATGGTTCCGAGAAATAAAAAGTGCGGCGTTACATCTTTCAATCCACAAACTTTTTTGACTTCTTCCATACCTACTACCGCACCATTTTCAACTTTTTCTATGTACTATGGCTAGTGATGGGATTGTTAAATTATTTTTATAAAAAATCTAAAAAAAAAAATAATTTGTATATTAAAAAAAATCTAAAACAAATATAAATTCTTATTAAAAAATAACAGGTTGCAATAAGAGGGAAAAAAAAATTACACTGTGTATTTCATTAAAATCTTAAAAAAATGATTTGTATATTAAAAAAATATCTAAAAAATATATAAATTCTTATTAAAAAAATAACAAGTTGCAATTGCGAAGAAAAAGAAGAGAAAAAATTACACTTTGCATTTTATTAAAATCTAAAAAAATAATTTCTATTAAAAAAATATCTAAAACAAACATAAATTCTTATTAAAAAAATAATATGTTGCAATTGCGGGGGAAAAAAAGAAAAAAAATTACACTGTAAAAAAAAAAAAAAAAAAAAAACACTATTAATAATGCTTAAAAAATGTGCCAAGTATTTGTGTAAAGGCTTAACACATGTCCACTCTCAAATTATCAAGTAAATATAGATAAAACTAAATAACTCAACTTTAATGGCTAACAAATATTAGAAACCTAAACATTGAAGCCTAATAACTATTAATTAATAGAATTCAGTAATTGAAGGGTCTCAAATCATATCTCTTTGTTTTCTCAAATGTTTCATTTTTTTGGTTCATTTATTCATTCTAATATTGATAGAGAATTAGACGTGTGGAAGAGTGAAAGATATTAAAATTATATATTTAGTTATGTAATTGTTGTGATGAAAAATAAAAGTTGTCTTTCTCTTCTATGGCGATTTATCTGGTTATATCTCTAATTAAAATGTCAGATGTACTTCTATATCATCATTGAACGTTATTTTCATTTTTTATAAATACTTTGCCTCACAATTGTTTGTGTTTTGTGTTATGAAATTTATTACATCTGTGTTTGCTAAAACTATTAGATGGACCTAATGCAAGAAGTACAAACTATTTTAATGTCGTTCTCTAGATTAAAAGTACAAAAAAACATACACAAAAAGTATATGAATAGACAAGATTTCACAAAACTTGTTTGTGAGTCTCACTTCTTAAAAATTCTATAATTCATTTATTTTTTGTATTATATTTTATGTTTGGTTTCTGTAATTTTTTTTATTATATTGTTTTCTTTATTTTCTTCAAAAGTTTATTTTTAAAAATTAATTAATTATTTTCTATTTCAAACAATTACATACTCTTTTTTTTTTCTTCTATATATTGTACTTTTATACATTTTAAGTGTATAATGTTTTCACTAATACACTCAGAGATGCACTATAAAAGAAGTATCATGCGAAAATTAAGTAAGAAGAAGAAAAATAAATAAAACAATACGATAAATGTGGAGCAAAGATCAAATATCAAAACTCTCAATGCAAGCAAGTAAACAAACAAGTAAGTAGAATAGAATGTTGGGCTCTGTTTAAGTGTGCAACCCCCTCAAGGTTGCACACCATATGCAACCCAATTGTTAGCCGTTAGATTACAATAATTGATCAAGACCATTGAATTGTTTAATCGTGAAAAAGTTGAAACCGGGGCAACCGGTTAATGCTCGTATTTGCATGATTGCATCCCACTCACTCTCTGTATTTTGTCCCTATCTCTCTCTGTTCTCCTCTCTGTGTAAGGTTGAGTCAGTGTAACCGTTGATTTCCATTAACAGGGAGAAGCCCCTGTTGGGTTCGTTCCATTGACGAAGCTCTGTAGGGAACAGTATAACGGGCGATTTCCAACAACAACGTAACTAGAAGGCTGTGTTGATTCCATTGCTGAAGTGAAGCCCTTCTCTCGAACTAGATATGAGGTATGGAGCTGTGTCCCTCTCTCTGTCTCCCTCTCTGTCTCTCTGGCCCGTTCACTTCAGCTATTTTCCCTCAACTAAACCCCCATCCTAACTTCAACCGCTCTACGCTTCGCTCCAACGGAAACCCCTCCATTGGCAACTAACCTTTCTCTTTCTCAAGCGAGTGTTTGTGTTTGCACAAACAACTAAACCGTGTGAAAAGATATATATAAATATACATTAAAAAGTTGCACAACTTATATTGGCTTTTTGGCTAAAATTCTTACTTGCTGGACATATATTTTAATTTTGCAAAAGAAGTATTACTTTTGTTACAGAAAAGAAGTATAACTACCTTTCAAATTTCATGTCAAATAATAGAGAACACATGTGCATGCATGTATGTATGTCAAGATATGCTCTCCATTCTTGTGATATTTATAGAATTGCCATTCTTGCAAATCTCAAGGCTCGTTTGCCTTGGAGAAATATCATTTGTATGCAATGCACGTAGCTCGTTTTATGCTTGCATACAATACGTGGTGAAATTCTCCTATGTCGTTTGTCTGTGGGATAGAATTTAAAGTAGTATTGTTTATGAATCTAATAACATTTCTTTCTCCAAGGAATGCAATTTTTTAGCCACAAATAATTAATCTTACTCTAATTTTTAAAATGACTGCAAGGGATAAAAGAGTCGAGATTTTCGTTAAAATCAGTGCACAATTGAACTTTAAATCACCAGTTCCAGTGAATTTAGAGCAAGAAAAATCTCTTATCTGTTTTCTTAGCCTATTAAATACTGGATGATTAAAGTGGGAAGACAATATGATATGCAATGTCTGTTGTAGTTTTGCAGGACATAGTGTCATTGGCCATAAAAAAAAGTTTTGTTCATGCCATTTTAGCTAACGCATGCACTGTTGAAATGGTCAACACTGTGTGATGTATCTGAGGTCACATCGCAGTTTAAACAGCGGTGACAAAGCTCAAGCAATGGCTATGCGCAATGTCGGTGTGAAGACTAGCCAAATCATGGACTATATGGTAAATCAGTCCGGGTCTTATGAGAATGTTGGTTTCATCCGTACGGATCTGCACAACCATATTCAAGCCGAACGTAGAGCAGAAGTTGAGGATGGTGATGCGCAGGGTGCGTTGGTTTACCTATGCGCAAAACTTGATGTTGATGCACGTTTTTTTTACAAGTATGATGTGTGTAACGATAACAAGTTACAAAATCTGTTCTGGGCAGATTCGAAATCGCGGGCCGACTACGCAAAGTTTGGTGATGTGTTGATATTTGACTCAACTTACAGAACCAATGCATACAAGAAGCCTTTTGTCATGTTGGCTGGTGTGACTAGCCACTTTAGGACCACGATATTTGCATGTGTTTTGCTAGCTAATGAGACAATTGAGACATACACATGGGTTTTGGAAACATTTATGGAGGCGATGGGCAATAAAGCACCTGTGTCCGTACTGACAAATGGGGATAAGGCGATGCGAGAGACAATCAGAAGAGTATTTCCGGACGCAAGAGATTGATTATGTAATTGGCATCTTGAGAAAAATGCTGTTTCAAATGTTCACATAAGTGGCTTTGCACATGCTTTCAAGCAGTGCCTGGACATGGAAACGGATGAGACAAAGTTTGAGCATGGTTGGACGACAATGGTCGAAAAATTTGGACTTCAAACCAACAGTTGGGTGTTGGAGACATATGAGAAGCGTCATATGTGGTCTGAGGCATATATGCATGGACATTTCTTTGCTGGGATGAAGAGCACTCAGTGCTCAGAGTGTATGAATGCTTATTTCAATCCCTTCCTCCAACACAAGTTGAAGCTATATGAATTTGTTAGGCACTATGATCGGGCTCTTGCAAGGATAAGGTATAACGAGGCTGGAGATGATGCTGAAACAAATAACACTTTCCCGGTATTGATTACTCCATTGCGAGATATAAAGAGACATGGAGCTGAGCTAATCACCCGAAATATATTTACAATGTTCCGTGATGAAATTTTAAAAGAGGGGAAGTTGAATGTCAAGGACGTGTTCCCTTTGCCGGATGGTCAGAAATGCTACTATATTCATAAGTACAAAGTGAAGGACAGATCATGGATAGTAACACACAGTCCAGTGGATGCTGGAATGAGATGTTCTTGCATGAAGTTTGAGTCGTTGGGGCTACCTTGCTGTCACATGATATGTGTTATGAAAGCCAAAAATTTAACGCAAATTCCCCAACTTGTGTGCTGCATAGATGGACAAGGGCTGCAAGCAAGGATGACCAGCAATGGCCTCAACCCTCAATTGATAACACTACAACACAGACGGCCCGGTATGGGATATTGAGTTCTTCCTACAACGAAATATGTTTCTATGCCGCGCAATCAACGAAAGGTTTCAAAGAGGTTAGGGATGCATGTCTTTCGATGACGAGCCGGATAAAGGAGTTATATGAGAGGAATCTGAACGATGGAAATGGAGACAAAGGGAAACATTCATTCCCTCGACAATTTGGAGTAGAAGATCCTGATGTTGTGAAGACAAAAGGGAACCCAGGATGGCCCTCGTCCAACTGTCGAAGACCAAGAAAATGTGGGAATTGCAAATGCATTGGGCACACAAAGCGAACGTGTCCTAAGGTTCGATTTAGCCGAACAGTGGGTACTAACTCGGATGCAGATACACCCCACATAACTGAGCGTGAGTACAATGCGGAGTCATTGCCCGTTCGCTGCAAAACTGGGCTGGTGGATCCCAGTACACCGCACATTAAGCAGCGGCGACTATTTTTCGATGTTTCTCCTGGTTCCAAGTAGCCTGCGGGCCAATACGGTAGTGTTGAAGCAGCAGTGTGCAAAAATGATTCGACCACAATTGATGAGGTGAATCAGGTAATTGTATAATTTGTATGATTTACTTATTCCCTTAATTTATTAGGTAGACAGTACTAGCTATTGAAAACACATGGAAATAATGTATGTAGTTTTCATTTTGCACGGATTGCTGTACGTAACGTGTAAATCATTGGTTACGTACAATGCCAGGAAATGGCATAACATTGCCTATGTACAAGGCCACGAGTTGTAAATTTCCCATATTGTTTAGAGTGATGTTGTCATTTGTGTTTGCAGTGACTTGTCATTTTGAAAACTAATTGAAGGTGAGATATATATGGGTTGCCTGTATTGTTTTGGGTAGGAAATTGGCTTATGTCTGAATTCCAAGATTCCTATTGCGGGTTGCTTGTTTGTGTTCCATATTTGGTTGGATCTAACGGAAGGGTTTTTTGCGGTGTGGTTTATCAACTAACGATGTGTTGGCTTCGTATTGATTTGGTATGACTTGTTTTGATAAATTAGTATTATATTTCGAGTAAAATACGAATTTTGTCCATGTGGGTTTGCAAAATTACATACCAGCACATGTATTTTGTATATAATCCAAGTGGCAGTTAATTTCGGGTATTACTTGGAGAGAGTAACCCAACGAACTCGTTTACTTTATCTCTATGTCGATTGCTATATGAATTACAAGTTATGAACAGGAGTTGTGAAATTATTTCATGTTAACTACGAAAGTATGGGTTTATTGTTAGTCAAATTATGGTGGGCCTATATCGACAGCAACGAAGCAGTAATTTAAAGTTGACAAGTTCAAGAAGAAAATCAAGCAATTGTGGTATCGGTTCGAATGCTTGAAAAGGATGAAGACTTCTTTCGATGAACTGATGGTAACAAAGTAGAAAGTATAAAGTAAGTTGTTGTGTTGTTCTGTTGTTTGTAACAAAATAGAAAGTAGAAGGGAAAAAACTACTCAGAAGTTGCAATGTAGAAAGTAAGTTGTGTTGTTGTTCATGTCCTCTCTCTCTGCAAACATTCTGCCCTTTATAGCTATAAA